CATTTTACTTTCTAATGATTAAATTTAGTGCCTTTGAAAAACAGCTAGGTCGTGGTTAGTTTTCTACTTCTGCAGGCATTTTGAAACTTGTCATATTTTTTTTGTACATAACACTGGTTCTTATATGTAATTTTATGTTTCTTAATTCAAATATACACATCTTATGAACCTCTTTATACTATTTATTGCTTCTACTAATTTTTTATATTGTCATTTTCAATGTGTACTTACACATTTCTGCTCCTAGTTTCTCATTTTCTTTTGTGAAGAATTATGTCAATCAGTTGACACATTGGTTACATATGGATTCTTATAGAAATTGTTATTCCCTCTTCAAATTTTGAGTCAGTACCAACCCAGGACAACTATAAAAAAAAAATCAAGTTTCAAAGTTTTCGTCCAAAATATAAAGACAATTCAGGCAACAAATTTGTGGGAGTACAGGGTGATGATTACAAATTCTCAAAATCACTTGTTTTTCTTCTCTTCTTTTTCTTTTTTTTTCCTGACTTAAGGTAAATTTTTTAAGAATAATTTTGCATGGGAAAAGAAAAAATTCTGGGTGCAGTGGTACATGACTATCATCCCAGTGGCTCAGGAGGCTGAAGCAGGAGGATCATGAGTTCAAAGCCAACCTCAACAACAGTGAAGCACTAAGCAACTCAGTGAGACCCTGTTTCTAAATAAATACAAAATAGGGATGGGGATGTGGCTCAGTGGTTGAGTGCCCTTAGTTCAATCCCTAGATTTTCACTTCTTGCTCATAGGGTATAAATTTTTTCTTTCTCAGATTTATCAGAAAGCCAGAATGTCTCCCATTATACTCATGCTCAAAATATCTCTGAGAATCATCACCTGTGTGCTTGTTATGATTTAATGATGAATGTTTCCAAAGCCCCTGTGCTAGAGGCTTGGTCCCTGGATGGTGCTACAGGGAGATGGTGAAATCTTTGAGAATTATGGCCTAGTGGAGGAGGGTCCTTAGGGTGTTGTGGGCTGTGACCTTGAAGGACATTGTTGGATACCCACCCTTTCTTTTCCTTCTTTGCCTCCTGGTGAGAAGGTGAATGGTTTTGGTCTGCCCAATGCTCCCAATATGATGTGCTGCCTCACTACATGTGTGAAGTACCAGGACTTCATGGAATCACCCTCTAAAACTGTGAGCCATAACAAATCTTTCTCTCTCTACTTTTTAAAAAATTTGTTCTAATTAGTTATACATGACAGTGGAATGCATTTTGACTCACTGTACACAAATGGAAGACAACTTCTCATTTCTCTGGTTGTACATGATGCAGAGTCACACCATTTGTGCAATCATACATGTACATAGGGTAATAATGTCCATCTCATTTCACCATATTTCCTACCCCCACACCCTCTCCACTCCCCTCACACCCATCTTCCCAGTTGAAAGTTCCTTTATTCTTCCCTACTGCCCCACCACCACTGTTATGGATCAGCATCTGCATATCAGATAAAACATTTGGCCTTTGGTTTTTTGGGGGATTGGCACATTTTTCTTAGCATGATATTCTCCAACTTCATCCATTTACCTGCAATGGTGTGACTTCATTCTTCTTTAAGGCTAAGTAATATTCAATTGTGTATATATACCACAGCTTCTTTACCCATTCATCTGTTGAAGGACATCAAGTTTGGTTCCATAGTTTGGCTATTGTGAATTGAGCTGCTATAAACATTGATGTGGCTGTGTCATGGTAATATGCTGTTTTAAAGTCCTTTGGGTATAAATCAAGGAGTGGGATAGCTGGGTCAAATGATGGTTCCATTTCCACTTTTGTTAGGAATCTCCATGCTGCTTTCCATAGTGGTTGCACCAATTTGCAGTCCCACCAGCAATGTATGAGTGTACCTGATCCCCCACATCCTTGCCAACATTTACTGTTACTTGTGTTCTTGATAATTGCCATACTGACTGGAGTGAGATGAATCTTAGAGTAGTTTTGATTTGTATTTCTCTAATTACTAGAGATGTTGAACATTTTTTTCCCATATATTTGTTGATCAATTGTATATATTTTTCTTTGAAGTGTCTGTTCAGTTTCTTAGCCCATTTATTGATTTTATTGATTTTTTTTAGTTCCTTATATATCCTGAAGATTTGTTCCCTATCTGATTTGCATGTGGTAAAGATTTCTCCCATTCTGTAGGCTATCTCTTTGTGTTATTGCCTTTTTTTTTTTTTTGCTGAGAAGAAGCTTTTTAGTTTGAACCCATCCAATTTATTATTGTTGATTTTATTTCTTGTGCTTTAGAAGTCATGTTAAGGAAGTAAGGTCCCAAGTTGACATGATAAAGATTTGAGCCTACTTTTTCTTCTTTTAGTCGCAGGGTCTCTATTCTAGTGCCTAAATCTTTAATCCACTTTGAGTTTTGTGCAGGGTGAGAGGGCTTAAATTTCATTTTGTAACATATGGATTTCCAGTTTTCCTAGCACCATTTGTTGAAAAGGCTATCTTTTCTCTATAGTATGTTTGTCTAGTATGAAATAAATGTATTTATGTGGATTTGTCTATGTGTGTTCTATTTTGTACCATTGGTCTACATGTCTACTCTGGTGATAATACCATGTTGTTTTTGTTACTATAGCTCTATAGTATAGTTTAAGATCTGTTATTGTGATGCCTTCAGCTTCACTCTTCTTGCTAAGATTGCTTTGGCTATTCTGAGTCTTTTATTTTCCAAATGAATTTTTTCTATTTCTGTGAAGAATGACATTGGAATTTTCATAGGAATTGTATTATATCTGTATCATATCTTGGGTAGTATGGCCATTTTGCACAATATTAATTCTGCCTATCGAAGAACATGATAGATCTTTCAATCTTCTAAGTTCTTCTTCAATTTCTCTCTTTAGCATTCTGCTACTATGCTGCATTCATACATTAGTTCTAGAACATTTCAGGTGAACTTTTTTTTATTTTTAAAATATAGAATCATGTCATCAGTAAATGGTGATAGTTTGAGTTCTTCTTTTCCAATTTTTATTCCTTTAATTTCTTTTGTGTAATTGCTCTGGCTAGTTTCTAGGAGTATTAAAACTTTCCTCTTTATAAGTTAATTATCTCCGGTATGGTGGTTCCTCTGATTGGAATCTATCACAGTAATATATTTTGAGTCTAAGAAAAATCAAAGCTAAGCTTTCTCTAGTTTGGGCCAATGCCTTGGGCCAAGTATAATTTTCTTCCATAAATTTCAGCCTAACTTTATACTTTGAGCTAAAGAATTGTTCTCTTACTTCTCTACTTTCTGATGCTTTTTCTATTTTATGTCTTCTTAGCTGATTTTAGGGGAAGAAGCAACCTTAAAATCACATTACTATAAATGGAATCACCATGAACTACTGATTCCTTCCTGCTTTTAATCTGACACCAGGGTAGATGCTGGAACACTATTCTGTCTACAGCAGTGCTACTCAAATGGGTATTAAGTGCACTAGCACTGGACTGTAAATGTTTGTTACCAACCCACAATAAGACACAGAAAGTGAGAGTGATAAAAAACACATCTACCATATCTTGTTCCAGAATGACACCAGTCAAGCAAAAGATACATATTTACATCAAGCCCTTGTCTGCTGAGAGCAGTTTGATTATCAGCTGTTGGTATGGAAGTTTGAACACCTCTGCTCAACATCTCCACTAAGTGCCTGCAAAATCCTGTCCTCACACAAGCCCTCTGACAGTCTTCCCTTCTTCATTGATGCAACTCTTATCTTTCTAATTGCAGTGTCACAAATTTTTGGTGATCTACTTACTTCCTCTTTCTCATACTCCAGCTAAGTTCCTTAGGAAATGCTGTCAAGTCCCAATTCAAAATGTGTGCAGCATCCAAACACTACTATTTCCCCTGCTCATACACCAGGTGAAGTGACCAACATCTCCAGCATAGGACTGTTTCCCTGCAGTTTCTCTCCTACCTTGCAAGTCCTCCCATATCAATTGTATTCTCAGCTCAGCAGTTAGAATGATGCTTTGAAAAGATGCATCATGTCTGTCTTTGCCCAAAACTGCTTCACTCAATGCAAGATTCCTTTTGTTAACTTCCAGATCTTCATTGACTGACTGTGCCTCTGAGCTCCTCTCTGACTCCCCTCAGGGCATCCCAGATCCTTGCTCTCCCCAAACACACACAGGATCCTGCCCTGGTGCATTTGCACTGCAGCTTCCTCCTGCCTAAAAAGATCTTCCTCCAAACATCCTGACAAATTCCTTCATGTCCTTCAAATCTATCCCCCAAAGTCACCTTGCTAATAAGTCCCATGCTGAGCACCCTAGGAAAACAGTCATCTTCCTTATCCTGACACACCCACTCTGACACCTGTCTTGTAAAAATTTCCACCTAACATGAACACTCTCTTTATTTACTATGCTTAGAGTGCATCTTCTTCCTCTTTCCTATAGAACACAGGCTCCACAAGGGTGGCACTTTTGGTTTGTTTTCAGTTCCCTGATGTATGCTTGGTTGCAACTGTGTGTCATCTCTTCAGTACTCAACAAATAAGAGCTGAATGAATGATCAGTGTCAGCCCCTCCCTCTTCTAGAAACACTGTCTTTATTAATGGAGCCTCAGACTAAAAGCTGCTGGGCATCTGAAGAGCATGGGCTTCTCAGTCTGAGGTCAAAGCCATCTGGGCTTTTCTCACAAGTGCTGCCCTCCCTCCCTCCACAGCACCCAAGAATGTTTTGATCTTCAGGAAAGATGATCCTTGACAAATGGATCATATTTTCCAGCTAAACAGAAATCTCTATTAGACTTTGTTTTATTGATGAAGGAATCTGTAATGGAGCAAGTTCTAGAATTAGTATAGTTAAGGAAGTGAAACTGCAGAATAGAGAAGATAGAATCCTAAGAGGAATTTATTAAGGATGAGAAATTATGAGATCCTTCCTCTCTGTTATTCCCATAATCTGGGAATATTGGGGGAATGATGGAAAATACAATCCAGGAAACTGCTCTGGGTTTTTGGGGACAATGACAGAAAAAAAAGAGTTCTGCTGCTATCAATGATGAGAGACACCCAGAGGAGAAAGAGCCCAGACATCATATTTACTAATAAGAACAGGGATAATTCTCTATAGAAGCTGAGAAACTAAAAAAGATGGGAGAATAAAGTGAGACTCTGGTCTCATCCTGTACTGACCCAGCAAGGTGATGCCCTCCGTGCCTATGGTCTTGGAGACAGGAGCTCTGCTGATGCTTAAGTCCCTGTCATGACAGGACTTGGTGGGATGATGTTCAACTGGAGGGACAAAACTAAGGAGAAGGGAAGAGGATCTAGGTGAGGAGTGGACCACATCAGAGACCAGGATACACTGAGCAGGGACTGAGTGCCAACTTGTCCACCCTCAGCTGCTTTCAGTCTTCTCCTGTCCCCACCTGCAGCAGACTCAGCACAGCAAACATATGGATTCTAGGTTTCAGGCTTTATTTTTTTTCAAATTTGGGAATCTTCATTTAGTTTACCCATCAACCATATTTTGTGGCATAAATTTGAAATACAAATCAATATTCAGATTCTGTTTTTCAACAGGGAAGGAAGAAGCTATAGCCCAGGGCAACATGAAGCTACATAAAAAATGGAGACACCTCAGCCTCACATCTGCTACATAGGAAAGTTGATTGAGGAAGAGAACACAACAGTGTGGGGAGGGATCTTGGTGATCAGGGATGTGCTCTTCTCTGCATTTCCTCAGTGATGATGATAGAAACACAGACACATAGACACAGTTAGATGCCAGCTACACAGAGAAGTTAGAAACTCTTGAAATCTTAGTAGGGAGCAGGAATGAACTAAAGAAATCCTGTATTATTCAGTCCCACAAAAGGCAGCTGTCTCACACTGTAAAAGAAAGTATTATGAACAGATTCAGATCACTCATTGTAATGGAGACACTCTGAACAACTCATTAAACACTCAAAATGTCAAAAGTCCCCATGAGAGTCCCTGTAACCCAAGAGTGTCTCCATTCCCCAACCCCTCTCCCTCTTTAGGCCCTCCAGGGTCTCACATTTTTAAGCAGTGAGAGACACATAAGAGTCCTGGGCACTGTCATTACCTGAGCAGAACAAAAACAGAACCTGGTCAGAGCCCACAGGAGATGGGAGTAGTGAAGAAATTAAGGGATAGACCAGCTCCCCCATTGCTTCCCATTAGACTATTTCTAAGGTCTCAAGGATCAGTGTTCTTCATACTTACCCTTTGCTGGAGCATAGGGCCCTTTTTTTACACCTGTGGGAAGAAAGCATCCTGTGAGAGAACAGTTTAGAGATAGGTCTTAGAGGTACCCTGTAGTGCTAGACACTGGGACAGTCTCCATATCTGTGACTGCAGACATAGGGAAGCATCAGGAGACCAGAAGAATGCAGATATGTAGGGATGGAGCCAATTGCTCTCATGGAGGTCTGTTCTCAACAGGAAGATTCTCCTGTGGCCTCTAAATGCTGGGAATCAGGACCCATCACCACAAAAATCAAGAGGATATTACATTCTATGCACTTTACAAAAAGTAAACAGGGTCCAGGTTGGGTAAGGACATGTGTAGATGTTATTTCCCATTAACAAGGCAGGACACACTTCTAGTAGGCACTTGAAACCACCAGGGGGCAAAAATTTAGACCCTGACTTTCCCTACCTGTGTTTTTCTTCTTCCATAAGACAAAAGCTACCACAGCTCCAGTGACAGCAACTCCAAGGAGAATCACACCAGCAACAATTCCCACCATGGGGATGGTGGGCTCAGAGGGTGGCTCTGGGAGGGGAAGGGAAGTCAGTTGAGGAGCCCTGATCCCCAGCTCTCAGTCCCCACACTGCTGAGGGTCTCCAGAAAGCCTCCTGCTTTCCTGACAACAGGCTCTGGGCCCTCACCCCCTCCTTACCCCATCTCAGGGTGAGGGGCTCAGGCAGCGCCTCATGGTGCACATGGCATGTGTATCTCTGCTCCTCTCCAGCAGGCACCTCCACAGAGGCCCATTTCTGGAAGTTTCCATCCCCTGAAGGCCTGGTCTCCACAAGCTCCATGTCCTGGGTCTGGTCCTCCCCATCCCTCTGCCAAGTCAGGGTGATCTCCTTAGGATAGAAGTCCAGGGCCCAGCACCTCAGGGTGATGTCTCCTTCAGGGCTAGGGTGGTGAGTCACATGCATCTTTGGGGGGTCTGAGGGTAAGAACACAGAAATTCAAACATTTTGGCATTTCCTCTCATGGGCCACTTAAGCAGCGCTCACTTGACCATCCTGAGAGTGGACAATATGACCGGAGTGTGGAGGGAGCACAAAACCTAGACACAAGCCAGGACTGATTCTTCTGGCATAATCTATACCTTGGAAAGTTCTATAATCAGATTGAGATGGCCCAATGGAGGAGGTTTCAGGTTCCTAAGAGGGACTTCAGATTCTGATTTGGTACAGGCTGAGACATATGGAAAAGCTGGAGTCAGACCTCCAAGGATACTAGGCTGGAGTGCACCTAACAATGTGTCCTTGAAGCAAAGGCTGCTGCCAGGAACCTGTGGTCAGGTTTTAATGTCTTTCCCAGCAGCCAGGGAGAGAGAGACAGGATCCCTCACTTGTCCTGAGACCAGTGGCCTTCAGTTCCTCTGTAGTGCAGCACCTGGGGGTCCAGGCCCACTCCTTCCCCCGAACAAGGAGCAGGTGGTGTGTAGTGTGGGCACCATTCTCCTCCGCTCCTTGTGGGAAGCTGGAGGAGAGACCTACGGGGAACAGGCAGGTGTCCTGCAGCCCCTCACACCTACCTGTGCGCAGCAGTGTCTCCTTCCCGTTCTCCAGGTATCTGGTGAGTGACTCCACACACTCCCCCTCCAGGTAGGCCCTGTGGTGCTCCGCGTCACCGGCCGCCTCCCACTTCCGCCGGGTGATCTGAGCCGCCGCCGTGTCTGCCGCGGTCCAGGAGCGCAGGTCCTCGTTCAGCGCCAGGTAGTCCTTACCGTCATAGGCACGCTGCTCGTACCCGCGGAGGAGGCGCCCGTCTGTCCCCAGGTCGCAGCCAGACATCCTCTGGAGTGTGTGAGAGCCTGTCCCCGCACCGCCATCAGCCCCGTCCCCGCCCCGCCCACTCTGGGTTTTCCCTAAACCGAAAGTGAAACCTGGTCACAGTCCCCAGGGCGCTTTCTGAGTCGAGGGTCCCCAGGGGTCCCTCAGCTTTGAGGTGAAGCTTGGCCTGGGATCTCTAACGATTCGGGGCCGTCGTTGAGGGAAGTAAGGGGTCGCGACCTCCGACTGGGGCTTGGGGCCCGGGTCACTCACCGTCTGCGCTCTGGTTGTAGTAGCCACGCAGGTTGTTCAGGCTCATTAGGTCAATTTGTGAGTGGCCCTTGGCTTTCTGTGTCTCCCTTTCCCAGTACTCTGGCCCCTCTTGCTCTATCCAAGGCGCCAGTGGCTCCATCCTTGGTGTCTCGGTGTCGCTGTCGAAGCGCACGAACTGYGTGTCGTCCACGTAGCCCACGGTGATGAAGCGGGACTCCCCGCCAGGCCGGGACACGGCAGTGATGAAATACCTCATGGAGTGGGAGCCTGGGGGACGGAGCCGCTGTGACCCTGCTATCCCTTCCAGGCATCCAACCAAGGTCCCAGGTTGCTGAAGCCAGAAAGAGAGGAGCGGGGCCTAGAGGCGCTAAGGGGGCAGTGGGACGCGGAAGGGCAGGACTTAGTGGCTAGAGTGGAAGGTCAGGACAAGTCACTCCAGGTTGGGGAGGGTCTGGGCCAGGGCGACTGGAACGCGGCTTCCCTGGGTCCTGTGCAGACTGGAGGGTCCCCTGGCTCCTCCCTTGCAGAGTCCATTTCCCTTCCCACCCCGCACTCACCCTCCCAGGTCTCAGTCAGGGCCAGGGCCCCGGACAGCATAAGGAACAGCATCCGCGGCGCCATTATCCCCATCATCCAGCTCTGTGGAGATTTGGGACTTGGCCGGCCTTGGACGCTTTAAAACCCGAACCGTGGTGATGCTGTTTGGCTTCTCTAGGAGCAAGACATGTAGTGGGCGTGAGAACCTGGCCGCGTCAAGAGTGTCCAGGCAGAAGGACCTGACACGGGTTGGGAGAAGAAGAAGTGAAACTCCAGAGAGAAGAAAATCCCCAGTGCTGGGTGTCCACACCATGGCCCCCTCTAGACCCTGAGAGCCACACCCAGGGCTGGGACTTTGTCCTGAACACTCCTCTGTACTAAACATTCTTTGTCACACCATCCCCTGATTCCTGCCTCAGGGTGTAAAGTCAGTAGCTCTCAAATGTTTTGGATTCAGGATGTACTTGGTCTTAGAAAGTGGTGGGCAGTCTAGAGGTGATCCAGTTTATGTGAATTATATCTGTCAATATTCACCATATTAGAAATTAATTCCATGTTAAAGATATGTTATTCCTTCTGAGTATTTATAACGAATTGCATGTTAACAAACAGCAGTTTCAAAAAGAAATAACTTTTCCAAAATCAAAACATTTAGTCTGATGACTGGATCATTTTTTCTTTTTACAAGTTGAAAGTCCTTTTTATTTGTCATAGAGAATGCTAGATGTTATATATTCTGCATTTACCCTGTGACTTTGGTTGAAACAACAACAAGAAATGCAGTCTCAGAGAAGTATCAGGAAGAATGTTTTTAATAACATTTTCAGTAACTGTGGCTATTGTCTTTGATACAGACACTAACTTGATACAAGTGTTAGCTTAAAGTTTCTTTACCATATGAACCTTGAAATATTACCATGGAATAGTTCACATTCTGTTGTATTAAAGTCTGTGAGTGTGTCTTGCATATTGAATGGATCTTGTGCTAATGAATGATATTTTTTTGAAGTCATGCAGTGTTTGTCCACGTTATATATGTAGACCTTCTAGTGTTGACATATTTAAATGCAAATAATCAAAATGTTATATGTTGATATTTCTACAGATTTCACCAGAAAATGTTGTAGGTACTTGGGAGTCTGTCAGGTTGATAGTGGTGAATGCGGGTTGTCCTAGATTCTGAAATTCTCTGGAGAGCATACATTTTATCATTGAAAATATTGTTGTCTGTGATTATCTTGAAGGGACAGACTCAGTTCATATTTTAGCATGTTGGCCAAATATTGAAGTCTAAGGAATGGTTTCTCTGTCATTCATTTTTGAAGCAGGAATGATATTAAAAAAAAATGGGGCTGTTACAACTCACCACAGTCTTTTGTTGACACAAACACCCTACTTTCAAATATAGCAGATGTGCTTTAAGTGTACTTCCAATTCTATCAAATAAGGGTATTTATAATGTTAATTATGGAGTGGCAATTTAAAAAGTTAATGATTTTTTAACACCTGAATCAGGACATGTTTAAGTGAACTTGCATGTTTTTCCTTCTATTGTTAAAAGGTGCTCAAGAATATAGTAACTACTATTGCAGTTTGGTACCATAGCTTCCACTTTAGCAAGTTTTAGTTTGGTCTAAATAATATTTTAGTGATATTATAAAAATATTTTGATCATATGGATCATGTGCAATAATCTGAACACATCTAAGGGTTCCATAGATCACACATTGAGAACTGCTGCTCTGTGTAAACTGTGGAGAGATCCCAAATGGTCCCAATTTCTTTGCTTGATTGTATGTCACTACTTTCAGTAATTGCAAAAACTTGTAAAAAGATATGGTACATGTAGAAATTATGCACAATTAGGTGTAGAAAAAAACCAAAAATAAGTTCTTAGAAATTAAAAACTGGTCACAGGAATGAATAATTTTATAGATGATTTGGACAATTAAAATAGTATCAGAAAAGAATTAGCATGGTACCCTGTTTGAAGAGGCTCCTGGGAGGCTGTGTGCCCTTCACCAGCAACAGCCACACCTCTGGATGTCTGCCACATCTGCACTGCTGACCAGCACTACAAAATAAGACTCCTTGCCCCCATAGGAAGCTAATTCTTTTTTCTTTGGTTCCTGGGATTAAACACAGGGGGCCTAACCACTGAGAAACATCCCTAACCCTTTAGAGGTGGGTCTGGCTAAGTTTTCCAGGCTGGCATGGAATTGCTGCAGTCCTCCCTTGGTCTCTCCTGAGTCTCTGGGGATTACAAGCATGAGCACCATGCCCAGCCTGGCCTAAGCTAATTCTTCAGATCAAAATAAGACTAGCGTGTTGAATGAGAGGGTCAGGAGTAGGGGTAGAGAAAAATCCTGGTCTCATGGACCTTACTCTGCTGCCCTCTGCAAACAGGACAAGCAGGGGTGAAAAGTGAATCCAGTTTCACCTAGAGGATTATTCCTGGGTACTCAGCTGTGATCCCAACTCCAGCCTATTTTCCATATGCCTAATTACTAATGGCCAATGGTTTTGACATTAATGTTCCAATTTGGGAAGTTTCCAATCCTAATGCTTCAGCTACAAAGAGAATTCAGGGTTTTTACAGCCTTTCTCTTTGTTCCCATTTTCTTTGATCCCTGTTTCCATTGGGCCCCAAAGGTGACTGGGAATGTGGGGGTCTGCCAGAGCCTTAGCAATTGCTGAGATGTGGATGAGAAGATGACTCTCTTCACTCAAAATCCTCCAACCTCATCCAAGTAGTTGGCCTTACAGGCATGTGGTACTATCCAGCTGAACATTATCTTTAATAAACTGTTTTCCTGGGGAAAAAAGAATTAGTATATGGTAAGAAAGAGAGAAGAACTGTAAGAGCACAAGGCTATCAATAAAAGATTTTCAACAACTGAACAATATGAATTGCAAAATAATTGAGAGTAAGGAATGATTTTAAAATCTCAAGACATTTTATTAGCATTTACCCTCCCCCACAAATTACATTGAATTGACTCAAAATAAATGAAAATAGACCTATGTGAATTTAGATTACGTTGAAATTTCAAAGAGTAGGTAGAAAAGAAGAGATCCTGAACATTTCAAGAAGCAGGAAAAACAGCTTTGGGAGCTAGAAAATGTTGAAACAATATCATGCACACTCCAAGTAAACATATTTTCAACACAGAATTCTACTAAATTAGAGTTGGACTGAGAGCTGGGGTGTCTGAAAGACATTTTAGATGTTTTCAGCTCCAATATTTTCTGTTCCACATTCCTGTAGGATATGGCTAAATGAAGTGAGAAACAAAAATTATGGAAAAAAAGCAAGAAAAGGGAATATGGGAAATGTAGTCAACAGGAAGCCAGCATGAGACAGGGAGGCCGTGCTCCCCCCATGAGGTGAAGCAGATCCAGGGGGTCAGCCTTGCTCCAGTTGTGAAGGCATCCAGTTCAGATGTGGCAGGATTGAGAGCTCTGGTGGAATCATGGATATGCTTATACTCATAGAGACTGTCTTAGTCTGTTTGGCTGTTTTAATAGAACACAACATGTTAAGTGAATTGTGAAGAACAGATATTTATTTTCTCACAGTTATTAAGGTTGGGAAGTGTCACAAGCCATCCAGAGGCTGTGAGTGTGAGCTATGAGTATTTGAGCGATAAGACTGGTTTGGCTTTATGCACTGACTGGGCTGTGCGACATCAGTGTGCCTTCCTCTTGCTCTGCTTGTGATCCCACATAGCACCTGAGATGAGTGTGAGTGGCCAAGATGTCAATTAATCTGCTGACCACAGACATCACAAAGCAAGACTCCACCTTCAGAACCCTACCCAGCCCTTCTTTGGTGAAGAACATTCCATGGAACCTCCTTTGTGTGTGCCCCCCACCCCCATAAAATAAAAGGAATGCAGGTGCATGCTCTCTTTCCAGTGTGGAGCTGACACTTGGGTTTGCTGAGTAGTCCCATCCTTGACTTGAGAAACTCATGTTCATGTGATGCTAGTTTCTTTTTTTTTTTTTTGATTAGTTGCTCAAAACATTACAATGATCTTGACATATCATATATCATACATTTGATTCAAATGGGGTATGAATTCTAATTTTTACCACATGTACAAATTGCAGGATCACATTGGTTATACTTCCACGTTTATACTACTGCCATACTAGTGTCTGTTGTATTCTATTGCCTTTCCTATCCCCTTCCTATCCCCTCTCCCCTCTTCTCCCCTTCCATCATCACTCTCTACCCCATCTACTGTAACTCATTTCTCTTTTTCCCCTTTACCCTCAAATCCTCTCATATGTAATTTTGTATACCTATGAGGGTCTCCTTCCATCTTCTGTGCAATTCCCCTTCTCTTTCCCATTCCCTCCTACCTCTAATCCCTGCTTAATGGTAATCTTCTTCTCATGCCCTTCCTCCCTGCTGTGTTTTGAGTTGCCCTTCTTATATCAAAGAAGACATTCGGCATTTGTTTTTTAGGGATTGGCTAACTTCACTTACCACAATCTGCTCTAATGCCATCCATTTCCCTGCAAATGCCATGATTTTGTTGTTTTTTAGTGCTGAGTAATATTCCATTTTGTATAAATACCACTTTTTTTATCTATTCATCTAATGATGAGCCTCTAGGTTGGTTCCACAGTCTAGCTATTGTGAATTGTGCTGCTATGAACATTGATGTAGCTGTATCCCTGTAGTATGCTCTTTTTAGGTCTTTGGGGAATAGTCCGAGAAGGGGAATAGCTCGGTCGAATGGTGGTTCCATTCCCAGATTTCCAAGGAATCTCCGTACTGCTTTCTAAATTGGCTGCACCAATTTACAGTCCCACCAGCAATGTACAAGTGTACCCTTCTCCCCACATCGTCACCAGCACTTGTTGTTTGACTTCATAATGGCTACCATTCTTACTGGAGTAGACAGTATTTTAGAGTGGTTTTAATTTGCATTTCTCTGATTGCTAGAGATGGTGAGCCTTTTTTGTGTATTTGTTGATTGATTGTATATCCTTTTCTGAGAAGTGTCTGTTCAGGTCCTTGGCCCATTTGTTGATTGGGTTATTTGTTTTCTTATTGTTTAATTTTTTGAGTTCTTTGTATACTCTGGATATTAGGGCTCTATCTGAA